TGTTTTCAATACCCTTCCTAATAATCCCCAACACAGCATTGACCTTTTTTATTGCAGTCACACACTGTCTCGATATTTTCAGTGAGTTATCTACTACAACTCAAAGATCTCTCTTTCTTGATCAGTCTCTGCCAGTTCAGACCCCATCAATGTGTATTTATATTTAGGATTTTTGGCTCCAATGTGCATCACCTTGCACTTGGCCACATTGAACCCCATTTGCCATGTTGATGCCCACTTGCCCATCCTTGACAGATCCCTTTGGAGTGCCTCACAATCCTCACCGGTTTTTACCACCCTGAACAACTTTGTATCATCCGCAAATGTAGCCACTTCACTGCTTACTCCCAACTCCAAATCATTAATGAACAAGTTAAAAAGCAGTGGACCAAGTACTTCAGGATCTTCAGGCAATCTTCAGGATCCACCTGGAGGTTGGCTACCCTAGACGTAGCAGGTAGCACTTCAGAGCAGGGTCTGCCAGAGCCAGGTTCTTGCTGTTGAAGTTGATTGGGTGATTTCAGACCAGTCAGACTTTCAGCCTAACCTTCCTCACAGAGTTGCTGTGCAGATCAAAAAGAGGAGAGGAGAATGATGTAAGCTGCTTTGGTCTCCACTGCGGAGAAAGACTGTACTTTTCCTCCTGGGGAACCATTGCTGCCAATCTCTAGGTGAGGGCTAGAGATCACTCAGAATTAAAACTGCTCTCCAGATGGCAGAGATCAGCTCCCCCAGAAAAAACCGCTGCTTTGCAAGGCGGACTCTGTGTCATTATACCCTGCTGAGGTTGCTTCCCTCCTGCTTGGGTCCCCACTGTGGAGAAAAAATGTAGTTTTCCTAGGTAGAGGCTACAGGGAGGGGGGAAGAGATGATAACCTGAAGTCAGAGGGGCAGATAATGGTACATTGATGATTGGCTGGGAAGGAAATAGTGTTGACACCTCCAGGTTGGGAAATTCCTGGACATTTGAGGGGTAAACCCTGGAGAGAGTGGGGTTTGAGGAGGGGTGGGACCTCAGACAGGTACAAAGCCATAGACTCCACCCTCCAAACCAGCCATTTCCTCCTGGGGAACCATTGTTACCAATCTCCAGGGGTGGGCTGGAGATCACCCAGAATTACAACTGCTCTTCAGATGGCATAGATCAGTTCCCCTGGAGTAAACAGTAAGCTCTGTGTCATTATACCCTGCTGAGGTCACCACAGCAAATTGACACTGAGTGCCCAAGGCTAGGGCACCCACCCAGAGCCTCCTTCTAGAGCTTATTGTATTTATTTCCACAACAGGCCTTATTCCTATTTTGTCATATTTCACTTTAAAAAAAACACCCAAAGTAGACTGCAAGAGTTCACCCCCCCCCCAAAGTGCTGGTATGTTTTCTAAGGCTCAGTACAGGGCCAAGGCTAGGTCTACCAATATAATGTAATGGGGTAGGCAGACCTGTTCTCCAGAGGCCAAGTCTACCAATGTAGTGCAAAGGGAAGGGTAGACCTGTTCTTCAGAGGCCAGGTCTACCCCCATAGAGGACAACATTTTCTGTAATGAAATTTGACTTGATTCTTTTTTCTCATATAATGTTTAAATTATTCTTAAAATATAGTTTAAAAGAATTCATGCAGAGATTTTTACAAGGTTATGAAAATAATCTAAGAAGCTAATTTATGCAATAGTCAAATGTAGACTCACTCACAACTTTAATGCTACTAGCTTTTTTTATCTCACGAGGTAGAAGTTTTGCTCACAACACTGTGGAGCTTAGAGGGAACATTGGTCCCAATGTACATCACATGAACACATGAAACTGCCTTATACTGAATAGGACCCTTGGTCCATCAAGGTGAACACTGTCTACTCAGACTGGCAGCAGCTCTCCAGGGTCTCAGACAGAGGTCTTTCACATCACCTACTGCCAGATCCTTTAACAATAGCTCATGGAAATATCTGTATGAGGAACAGTTGATAAGAGTATTGGTCTACCATGTCAGGTGGTGTCTCAGAGAAAGAGAGTGGGGACCTGGTGTTTAAAAGAGGCTCTCATTAAAATAAACAGAGACAAAGTGTGTGATAAACCTATGACTGCCAACCTATTTGGGCCCTGAATGGAGAGGGGAAAGCGAGTCCTGAGTGGGAATGTTAAAGAAAAAGGGTGTCACAGAAGGGTACAGCTATTTTAATAAAAATAATAATGTATAGTTCTGCCTTTAAGTGTAAGCAGCTTTTGATGGACAGTGTTCATTAGAGTTGCCACTTTTTAAAAAAGCAGCCCTATACCTGTACTTTTAATGACAACAAAACTTCTCTCAATGCAAGAAAACTCTTCTCAGGTTACTTTTTTTTTGGTGAAAGGTGGGGCCAGTGAAAAAGTGGTACTCTAGTACCTGTTGGTACAAACTAGACATAAATTCTGCTCTCAGCTTTAGGCAGGCAAGAGCACAAATATAGCTTCACCAGCACGACTACATCATACAAGTTAGTTCTGCATTGCAGCTTCATCTATTTACATGGTATTAGAGCTATCAGAATCCAGTGACACAAGAGCAAATTGACTTTGAAAGACCCATAAATACATAAGTGACACTGAGTTGATAAGGGAACTTGAAATTCAGAATACCTCTCCAGTCTCACACACACGAAAACTAAGTAGATCATTGTACAAGTTCTCTTTCCACATACAGAACCATGAGCATTTTATATGGTAACAAAGGACACACAGCGGGGGATATGTGGCAACTCCCTGCACACCCCAGTCTGCTCATATACTTCCATTCCAAGATTTCAGCCTCCATTTGGGGAAACCTATTCATTTCAACATTTGTATCCATAAAATAGATGAAACAGTGTTCCCAGATATTTTAGCAATCTAAGAGGTAAAATCCAGGTATGTTCAGCCCCAATTTGGAATGGGGACAAACAGAAGGGAGGGGGGAATTAATATCCACCTATTGAAACTACCACCCTATTTCCACTATCCTTGGAAGGAAAAAGAATGAGCAAAAAATGGGTGCCTGTTGTTCCATACAAGGCTAATAAGAAGTCTGGCATAGGTTCAGTAAGTGAAATCATGCAGGGTTGGAAAGACTGCTGATTTCAGCAAAAGCATTTGACAAAATCTGCCATGGTATTTTGATTAGCAAGCTGATTAAATGCAGGTAATAATACCATCAGGTGAATTCATAGCTGGTTGGAGAACCATAGTCAAAGAATACTTATCAATGGCACTTCATGAACTCGGAGGGAAGTTTCAAGTGGGGACACAAGGGGTCTGTCCTGGGTCTGAAACCCTTCAGTATTTTAATTGAAAGCTTGGGTGAAGGGGTTTAGGGAGCCCTTATCAATTTTTCAGAGGGCGCAAAACTAGAAGAGATAGCTAACACCTTAGAAGACCAAAAAAAAAAATAAATCCAAAGGATCTTGTTATGTTAGGACGATTTGCATCTAGGCAAAAATAATCAAATTCATAGGTACAGGATGGAAGATGCATACGAAAGGATCCCAGGAGTGTAGTTGATCACACCCTGGGCATTAGTCAGTAGTGTGATAAATGGGGGAAACCCCCCACAAAAAACTAGTTAAATTTTAGGCTACATTAACAGAAGCACAGAATTCATGTGTAATTGAGATGTTTTAAATAAAATACTAGAATATCCTTTCCTTTGCCATTCTTAAGAGATATAGGAGCCCTCACTTGGTAACTTTACCTGAAATAGTGACAGCTGTAAATTTTGTGAATCATGCAATAGGCAACCAGAATGTGCAAGAAAGTAACTTTATACGAACTGCGTAAGGTAACATATGATGACTACCGCCACAGGTTGATTTTGTCCCTTCCTTTTAGTACATCTAAGCTGCTTTCCCAAATGTCAACCACCCATGGAACATTCTGTCACAGTCACTGCTCTACCAGAGCCCCCCTCCCCTCCCAAAAAGTTGCAGACAGGATGCTCTTCACCTTTGCCATCATTTGCACAGCGTTTTCCCCGTGTCTGTATGACGTTTCCAACGGGCGCCGATTATGTACATACACTTTTCATTTATGCCTGTTTATTTGGCAGTAAGTCCCATTTTAACTCAATGGAATTTATTTCACAGCAAACACGAACGAACGAGATAGGGCTCCACGCCAGATAGTAATGCACTCAGAATGACGTTGTAGTTCACGAAATGTATTGTCAACGAAGACAGCAACAAACAACATTTTTTAATGTTACAATCAATGTTTCCTCTAAGCTGTGGAGTCTTGTGAGCAAAAATTGTACTTTGTGAGCTACTGGCATGAAAGTTGTGAGCGAGTGATTTGGCTCCTGCATAGCTTAGTTTGCTCTGGAGCCCTCCTTAGCTGAGACAAAAATGTGTGAGCTGGAGGCTAAAAAACTGTGAGCTAGCTCACACTAACTCAGCTCAGAGGGAACACTGGTTACAATGTTCAGGTAATAAATACGCCGCTCTACCTGCAAGCGAGAAGGCGCGGCTGAATGTAAAACTTAGCAACTGGAGTCTTTGTAAATCAGAGTTGACGGTAGGGGGCAGTTGGTCTGCGTTAGTCCTGCGGCCCAATCCTAGGCATGCTGCTTAGTTGGATTCAAGCTCCCCCTAACTCTGCTGCTCGAGTTCCCGCGGAACAGCTCCCCAGGTCGTTAGAATGTGTTGAAGTGAAACGCTTCCCAAAGAAGCAAAAGGCGTGGAGTGGAGCGAATTAAGCGATGCATCCGGCGCACAAACGCCTTCTTCGGGACAAAATCGGGGTGGGTTTGTGTGTTTTTGCAACGGATTTGTTGCTTCGAGAACGGCACGGTCCCTTCCAGCATTGCCTCATCCGCAGTGATCCCACCCCTTACTAAGGGGGGGGGGGGACGACGACAACAAAGGGCAGGGCGCACAGCGGGGCTGATGTCACGGCCAGGTCTTTATAAGGAGGGCCCCCTCTTCTTAACAACTTTACAGTTTGACGACGGCGGCTGCTGTGGTCCAAGACGTTGGGCTTACAAGCAGGGGGAGGGGTTTGAAGGGAAAATGCAGCAGGGGAAAATGCACCCGATGCATACGTACCAATCCATCAGACCTTTCAAACAAAGAAAGAGTTTTGGTAAGTTGTTCGGTTTTTTTTCTTTAAAAAATGCGACGTCTAATTACACTGCGATCTTCTGCGTGGTTATTTGGAAGTAACTCCTACTGAAATCAACGGGACTTATTTTGTAATAAATGTTTTTTAGGATTAGAGGTAATAAGGTGTAACCCCAGGTAGAACGTGTCCCATTGATCTCGTGTGATAGGATGGCATCTTCAAGGTGTAGTCCAGGCTGATCAAGCCAGTAGGACTTCAACTGCTGGTTTATCGTGCAATCTTATTCAGAGTTACTCTTGTTCAAGACAGTAGTGAGTTTAGACTTGTAGGTCTGCATAGGTTTGCACTGCTGGACATGTTACAGGTTCACTTTTTCTAGGAAGTGACGCTCCCTCCCTCATTGACTTTTAATATGTTTTCTAGTTTAGTCTGTTTGGATTGCAGCGTTGAGCAGTAAGGAATGCAGATCGCTGATCTTTGCTTTTCTTTTGGACAGCAAGCAGAATGGAAGAAGTTATAGGCATTCGGGAAAAATTCCCCACAAAAGTCCCTGTAAGTTTATATTTTCTCTTTCCTTTATTTGCTAACTACTGATGGCTGCATTTTTTTTCTAAAATAAAACGTTGTTCTTCAGTACTAACAATATTGTGTAATGTGTTCTGTTCAAAGTTAGCTTCTTTTTTTCCCTAAAACAGGTAATTGTTGAAAGATATCAGAGAGAAAGGTACCTTCCACTGCTAGACAAAACCAAATTTCTTGTACCTCAGGAGCTGACCATGACACAGTTTATAACCATCATTAGGTATGTAGCAAGCCACTGATAGGCTGTTAATCATATTGCTGTTTGCGCTGCTGTGTGTATTTCTGTCTGTGGTCTATTTTTGGTGCAAACTTCTGAAGGATTAAGAAATAATGCAATAATGTGTTCTGTGTTATCCAGCACCTTTCTGTGAATTATTTCTCACCGTGCTTTTGATGAGACTCTGCTAATGGAACCTTCTCGCAAATGGTTCCTTCTTGTTTGCATGAGAAATCAACACTAGATTAATATATTCCCATCTCTATTTTAAGAATAAAAATTTTCTTCAGAGATGCAGTAGCTTTCAATGCATTGTGCAAGACCTATAAATTATGGGGTGTTTGCCCAATGTTATGAAATAAATAATCCCATAAAAAGACTTTGGGTCTGGTCAGCCCTTAATTCTATGTCCAGATCTAAAGAGTTCCTTTTGGCTTCTCTTGTACAATTTAAAAACTGGGTCCTCTGCTATATTTCGAACTGCATTTGTTCTCCCCTTGAAATTCAAAATATGTTTGCCGTGGGCTTTGGAAAGGGGTCTGCTCAAGAAACAAAAGTTCAAAGACCTGTGGGGCCTACAGAATTAGTTGTGTGGGTTCTGCACCTACTGTTGCAAATCTTTACTAGGCTTCTGCTAGGTGTCAGCTTTTGCACCTTTAACTCCTTTCTGAGAAGATACGAGGAGCTGCATTAGGAAGTGAGCCCATTTATATCTATATCTTTGTATTCTATATATATCCATTTGTATCTGTCCTGATTAACAATAGTTCTCCAAGGCCAGAGTTTTTTTTACACTCAAAATTGAGCAGATGAAGATTTTAACACTGGAGCCCAGAGAAATATTGCACTTCGTCTTTTTACTCTGCCCACAATAGTTGCATCATAGCCTGAAATGTGTGATGGCATTCAGAAACTCTTATAGGGAAGCACTGCTTTATAAATCTGAATAAAAAAATAAAGACACATACAACACGTTTCTTCCTGCCAGTTTTCTCAATACCAGGACAGTATTTCCTTTCTGCCATCAGGCCTACCCACATGCATGTTTGGCCACTAATTCCCTTCTGAAGTGGCCCTGAGCTACAGCCTCTCCTGGCCTTAGAAAATTTGCTGTGTTTCAGAAAGCTGCTCTCGATCTTAAGCAAACTGGCTAGCCCCTCAGTGTTTGCCCTTTTGATCTGCAACCTCTTCATGGAGGCAAATTCTCTTTGCATTATATAAACTGTGGCTGTGAATAGCTAGTGCAGTTGGCACAATACCCAGCATCCTGTCTTCAACAAGCATTTGACTTACAGGTTCCAGGCCATGAAAATTATTACCTCTTTAGAGGTACAGCAGTGTCCCTGTTTTAGACAAACTAAGTTGTGTGCCTCTTATCACAGCAATCATCCTTCTATTGTTCTACCATTACCATTAAGGGTTTTTTTTAAAAGGCTAAATACATGTTTGTAGCAATGCCACTTAGTATTTTTTCCTCACATGGGAGAAGGAATAATCTTGCACATCCCTCCTGCTCTTCTGTCCGTCCAGTATGTTTTAAGATTGCACAGAAACAAATACTTGGGTTATGGGTAGCTCTTTTGTGGCTGCATGGAAGTGGTGGTGCCTTCTACTGGTTAGGTCTTTCTCTTACTCTCAAGCCTTTCTACTGATGACCTAGGTTTGATAATGTGGGCCATGGGATCTAATCTGCGCAAGGACTGGCTTACAATATTTTTGTACACCAAAGGAAGCTGATACGGTATGGCTGTTGGAATGTCACGTTCGAATTCGTGCTCAGATTCTTACTCCACTGTGAGTTTGGGTTATTTCACACACAATGCAATGGTGAAGCTGAGTCTGCCATACAGTATGCTTCCAGAGTTGTAGCAAATCATGACTCCTTGGCAAATACACTTGTATGACATGTGTGTGTGTGTTTACCTGCAGCTAAAACTTCTTGCATATACTGTTATGAAATGAAAGGTGTGAAGGTAGCCATTGTTGGTTGGTTTTCACCAGCAGCTATCTGGCAGCTTAACCTGTTAAATAAAATAACACTCTGAGGCCCAGTGAAACAAGACACTGGGAGATCAATCCGTAATCATTTTATGTCACTATTCCTCTCAGGAGCTCAGGGCTTCATACATAGATTTTCTTGCACTTATTTCCCAGGAACCCTGTGAAGTGGCTTTGACTAGTGGCTGGTCACTATTTTGCAGCTGATCAGCAACTTTCATGGCTGGGCAGAGAGTTTGAACCCTGGTGTCTCAAGTCATAGTCTAGTTGCTTATACTAAAGGGGCAGTGCAATCCTAAGGGCTGCCTGCACCACAGCAGCAGGGTGCTGGTGTTCTCTTGGAGCGGCTAGTTCCCTACCTAGAGGTTTCCAGCAGAGACAAAGAGGCAGGAAAAAGACCGAGAGGTGGGGCCACACAGGCTGCAACCATGCCAGCATCCCCAGCAACTATGCCATTATGCCCAGTACAGGTCACAAGGTGCAATGGCAGAGCTATGATGGACAGGGTGGACATCCCTGCCAGCAGCAGAGCAGGAGGGGGGCCACTGAAGTGGGCTGTGGTGTGGGGGCCCACAGCACCAGCACCAGATCCCCCACTAGCTGCCTTAATGGAACAGAAGTGTTCTGGGACTGGAACAACCGTCATTCTACTCTGGGCACTGTCATTCCAGTCCCCAGAGCACCGATTCCAGGTCCAGGAACATTGTACTCTGAGGACTGTCATTCCAGTCCCAGAGAAATCTGTCCATGCCCAGAGACTGTAGTGTATTTCAGTGTATCCCATGCAAGTAATTTGGCATTCCTGTTTCCCATTGTATTCAGTGGGCATTCTATCATATCCCATTCTTCTCAGTGGCCATTCCTGTCGTTCATTTTAGTACATCCCTTCTCAATGCACACCTGACTGTCCCCAGTCTCCCTCTGAGTCCTTCACTACTGAACACAGGACCTAAGACAGATGCCTGCCTCCTCTACCAGCACCCTCCCCATCTGCCGCCCCAAACATATTGAGTCTACCTGCTGCATTGGCTCCCTAGCCATTGACTCTGGGGCCCTGCGAACCCCTGCCTTCTCAGTAATACTCCCCCTCTAGGTGTCTGCCACCCAGGTGACAGAGCTTCCCTCATCTTAGAGCAGGAACACCTTAGAACAGGCCCAAACCACCCACTGGCCCATCCCCCCTTCACACAGCAGCCAGTCGAGCCTCCGGAGCTGGGGTAACCCATGCAGAGTTGTGCAGTGAGACCTGCTGTCCATACAGTATGGACTTTGCACTCCCCCCCTTGGGTGTTAGCTCACCCAAATAGTGCTAAGTGCCTTCTCTGTGCTTTTCCTACCATCAAACTGCCACGTTACTCACTCTAAGTATGCACAGCAGGGAGCTCTGAGACAGAGTCCCATGCCACGTGCCCTACCTACTGACGTCTGGGATGTCCAGGCAGCCCCGTAGCTAACAACTTTTTGCTTGGGGGGGCAGTGTTTTGCTTGTGGGGCTGGCCATTATATGTCTGTGCGGAGCTGCTACACCGCGCTTATACTTCTAAGTAATAATTAATAAATGAATAGTAAAGGTAAAGGTTCCCTTGCTCGAAAGCCAGTCGAATCCGACTCTAGGGTTGCGGTGCTCATCTCCGTTTCAAAGCTGAAGAGCCAGCGCTGTCCGAAGACGTTTCCGTGGTCATGTGGCCGGCATGACTAAACACCAAGGCGCACGGAACGCTGTTACCTTCCCACCGAAGTGGTACCTATCTATCTACTTGCAATTTCTTGCTTTCGAACTGCTAGGTTGGCAGGAGCTGGAACTAGAGATGGGAGCTCACTCCGTCATGCAGCAACCCGGGTCTTGAACTGCTGAACTACCGACCTTCCACAGCCCACAGTTCAGCGTCTTAACCACTTGAGCCACCGCAGCTCCTAATGAATAATACAAGTGCCTTAAAAATGGCCAGAGTGATACAGTTTTTAAAAATCAGTGGAAATAGACCCCCCCCATTCTCACAGAAACCAAAGTGCTTAGAATCATATTAGCTTTCCAATTCCAGCTGGAGATGCCCAGAACTGAAACAAGAACCAGCCCACGCAAAAGACACCCTCCCCAACAGTAAAATAACAACAACAGGGATGTATTAAAAGGAATGACAGGATTGCCCATTGGAAACAATGGGAGAGATTTGAAGGCCCATTGGAAATAATGGGAACCAGGAGTGTCAATTGATTTGCATGGGTTCCATTGAAATACATTACAGCACAAGAAGAGTTGCAAAGAAAATGTGGAACGGATTTTCCATTAAGATCTCTGGAATGACAGCCCCCAGAGTGGAATGACAGCCCCTGGGAGTAGCAGAAGCATTCTGGGACTGATTTGACAGGGCCCAGAGTGGAATGATAGCCCCTGGGAATAGAATCTGTGTGCTGGGACTGGACCTGTCAGACAAGTCCCAGCTCACAGATTGTGTTCCCAGGGGCTGTCATTCCAGTGCCAGAATACTCCTGCTACTCCCGGTTGGCTTGAAACTCAACATCAAAAAAACTAATCTGGCATCCGGCCACATCCCTCAGTGACAAATAGAAGGGGAAGTCATGGAAGCAATGACAGACTTCACGTTCCTGGGATCCAAGATCACTGCAGACAGTGACTGCAGCCGTGAAATTAAAAGACACCTGCTCCTTGGAAGGAAAGCGATGGCAAACCTAGACAACATAATAAAAAGTAGAGACATCACCCTGCCAACAAAAGTCTGTATGGTCAAAGCAATGGTATTCCCAGTAGTAATGTATGGCTGTGAGAGTTGGACCATAAGGAAGGCTGAGCGCCAAAGAATAGATGCTTTCGAATTATCTGCTGGAGAAGACTTGAGAGTCCCTTGGACTTCAAGGAGATCAAATCAGTCACTCGGGTTCTTCCGGAGAGGACTCTCTGTCTGAGAAGGGGCAGTAGCTCCTAAAAGTCCTTATAAGTTGCGGAAGAGATTGGACAAGAAGAAGTGAAGGCTGAAGGACTCGGA